GGCACTCCTGTACACGACATCACCCTCTACTACAGGTGAGTGGGTGATGATGGTGGCACACCTGTACACGACATCACCCTCTACTACAGGTGGGTGATGATGGCGGCACACCTGTACACGACATCACCCTCTACTACAGGTGGGTGATGATGGCGGCACACCTGTACACGACATCACCCTCTACTACAGGTGGGTCATTAATGCTGCCTACAGGTGGGTCACAGCCAGCATTAAATAATGAATGCGGCATTTTTTCCATTAGGCAGCATGGAAATAATTTAATGAATAAAAATAATGAATGCCGCAGCAATAAATTTGAATTTGCCAACCCGCATTCATTCTCTTGGACGCACATGAGGAAATATACATTCAAACCAAGATAACCCATTTAAATTCATTTGCACTTGAATTAATTATTATCTTTTTGACAAATTATATATCACAAAACTAATCAAATTCATTATTTTTTTATTTCCAAATTAACTAATTATCTTTTTGACAAATTATCTATCACAAAACTAATCAAATTCATTATTTTTTATGCTGTAGAGCCACAGGTGGCGACACGAAGGAGGTGCGAGTGGCAGACGAGAGCCACACGGTGTCAGGCCTCAAGTGTGGCTCTCTGTATCACTTCTTCGCCACCGCGCGCAATGCTATCGGTAAAACTCTAATATTCGGGGCGTAAATTCAAAACTTCATTAATTGCCTTAATAATCTGAGCATTAATTGATCGGAAATTCATTAATCACTTTAATGCTCCGGCCATTAATTAATCAAAAATGTATTAGTCACTTTAAAATTCGAGGTGTTAATCAATCAAAAATTCTGCAATCGCTTTAATATTCAGGGCATTAATTAGTCAAAAATTCATTAGTCACTTTAATATTCCTGGCATTAATTAATCAAGAATTCATTATGCACTTCAGTATCAGAGGCGTTTATTAATAAAAAAATTCATTAATCACTTCAATATTCGGAGCGTTAGTCAATAAAAAATTAATTAATAACTTAATATTTGGGGCATCAATTAATAAAAAATTCATTAATCTATTCGAAAATTTCACATATAAAAACGGTACGTGACAAATCATGTAAGTTTTTTGAATACCCAAAAATCTCTTGATATTTATTTTGAGAAAAGCATATAAATATATTAGAAATTATAGAAAATACGTTGATATTTTTAATTTTTTTTATCAAAGAAACTCGTATCTTAGATATATCAAAAGAGGTCGCGATATATACGAGTATATAACAATACACTAGCAACAATGATTAAGACAATAATGTTCAAAATTTCTAGTCCAAACGTATATTCCAATGGCTCCATTGACTTACAGTTCAGTCAAGAATTTCACAGAATATTTTTAATAATATTTGATCTCCTTTAAACAATGTTTTGAAAATACTTATTCAGATTTTTAATAATTAATTGCTAAATCGCGGCCATCGTCGTGAATATGCTTCATAATATTTGATCTCCTTAAAACGAAGATTTGAAAATAATTATTCTGTTTTATAAAATTTAATTACTAAAACACGACCATCTTTGGGTGTAGACAACAGCGAATCTTCCCCCGTCGTGGAGGCCCACACGAAGGGGCGGCCCCCAGAACCTCCCCCGCAGTTCCAGTTCATCACAACGAACAGCACCCAAGCCACCCTTTACCTCACCCAGTGGGAGAACGGGGGCTGTCCCATCACACACTTTAGGGTGCAGTACCGCAAGCACCGGGTGAACGACTGGACCACGGGTGAGATGTGCAGTATTATGCAGTATTATGTGCTGGGTGGGTGGGTGAAATGGTGGTGAATTTAGCAGTATCGTGTGCTGGATGGGTGGGTGTGTGAAATAGCTGTGAGTGATACATTAACGTGTGCCGAAGTCTTCTTTTCTGTTCTGCCTTAAACTATATGAATGTCAATCAAATTTTATATCTACAGAAGTATAAATTCTAATATCTAGTCCTCTTGATATCCTATGCAGTTAGCAATTCAGTTCCGGTGCATCGCACCTACGCGGTGTCGAACCTGGAGCCCGGGCAACAATACGAAGTGCGGGTGACCGCACACAACTCTGCGGGTGCCACCCCTGCCACCTATAGCGTGGCCACCCCACTGCTGCACGGTGCCGGTGACCAGCGCACTCCATGCTGACTTATTCAATATACGATTTTTTCATCATCAAGAAAATCCCTTAGTATTAACTCCACACCTCAATGATACAAATGTCGATGCTGAGTCAGACAAATGAAGCTTTTTCCATCAACAGGAAGAACACTTCCCACGAATGCAATTATGCAGACAATAACCCTTTTTTATTTAATTTGTTTCAGACATTGGGCAACGCTCCTTTATTCTGATTAGTATTTCTTTTTTCTTCTCAAAATGAATTGCACATTTACATATATCAACAATGCACATATACTAGTACCCCATTTCTTAATTATTTGCCTTAAAATTTCAGTTTTTGCAGACTATTATTGTAATAACGAAGGGAATCCCTAAAAAATCTACATTTAATCTGTTTTCTAAAGTGATCTCTAATTTTGCATTTTTTACACAAATTTCAAGCCGCTAAACTTAGATAACAAAAATATAACTCAGTACTCGCTGCAGTGAGTGATAGAGAGCGCATTTTCTCGTCGACTAAAACTTGAGGCCACGGACGGACGGACAGACAGACAGACGGACATGGCGAGCACAATAGTGCATTTTTTCCATAAATCAGAAAATGCGCTAAAAGGCATTTTTTTAATCCGGTATAGGTGGGATGATAGCGCCAATTGACAGCGGCTGGGACGCCGGGGTGATGAGTGATGTCACCACAAACGAGTCGTTGTGGGAGGACCCACGGGTGATGGTGCCGGCAGTGGTGTCGGCCACGGCCCTCATCTTCACAGTCATCACACTCTGCGTCTGCACTAGAAGAAGTGAGTTGCTTTATTTCTCAAAAATCGAAACCAATAATCATTCTTACTCGTGAATATCCATAATCATCTCAAAAATCTATTATTAATACGGTAGCCAACAATTGTCATGTGTTAACACAAGATTCAACCATACTCTTCCGCTTCGCCGAGAATCACTATACCTAAATTATGAAACCAAAGATGAAATGAAAAAAGTTGAATTTCTGATTTTCCATCACTTTTTTTCATCAATATAAGCACGTTATACACTATTGTACCCCTCTTAAATGCCCTGCGTTAATTGTCTCACCAAAATTCTAATAATGGTCCTTCTCGCCGTCACTATTGCACTACACTATAAGTTGTTAACTACTATAATAATAATAATAATGATAATAATTACAATAATAATAAAATTAAAAATAATTAAAAAGAATGTGTTATCTTGTAACATTCATCTTAGGAGTTCCGTGATCCTTCTCTCGAATTTTTACTTTTTGGGCAGAGTTTGCCTCGATGATTTTCTCCTATATGCAGATGGCGTTGAAATAACGTTGATTACGATTTGATTAAAAACAACTTTTAATCAACTTGTTTACTCAATTACACAACGTTTATTCAACATTGTTTCAATGTTAGATGCTTCGATGATCTTCTCCTGTGCACTTGACGTTGAAATAACGTTGATTAAACAACGCTTAATCAACGTTGTTTCAACGTTAAATGCCTCGATGTTTTTCTTTTTTAGGAAAATGACAATGAAACAACGTTCACTAGGAGCGGATTTCTCTGAAGCAACGTTAATTACGAGTTGCTTTGAAGGAATAACGTTGATTACGAATTGATTTTTCTGGAACAATGTTTAGTCAACGTTATTTCAACGTTACATTCTTCGATGATCTTTCCTTCTATGCACTTGACGTTGAAATAACGTTAGTTCAACATTAGATGCTTCGATGATCTTTTCCTCTGTACACTTGACGTTGAAATAACGTTGATTAAACAACGTTTAATCAACGTTAGTTCAACATTAGGGGTTCAATAATTTCCTTCTCTATCGACGTTGTTTGTTCCCGCCATGGCCAGGCAAACCTCGGGAGGAGGCAGCGGCGGAGCCTAAGAAGTCCCTGCCTGAGGTCGAGCGGGCGACGCTCGTCAAGCAAAAGCCGCCCGTGAGAACCTTGTCTCCTGAGCCCCAGAACCTGGCGCCTGCAAGTCCTGGTGAGAACTGGGTCTGTACAATCAGAAAAATTTATGGGACATATAGTCCAAATGGTGATGCACTTTCACAAACTGGTAACGGGTAATGAGCTGATGTAGTACTGCTACGGTACGTCTTCTTGCCGGAACAAACGTGGTTATAGATGACACAAACAAAGCCAAAGAGCACATATAGCTACTTGGGTAAAGTCTAGTTCATTTCTCCGCATAATCATGGCCGCTTGAAAACTCATTATTAGATTAAATTTCAAGGCTTATTGAGAGTTGCCAATGTCAGACTATGTTTGTTTCAAATTGTTAGGCAGAATTTTTGTCTCCCTATTTATCTTCATAATTCTGTTAAATGTATTGGAGACTCGCTTTATATAATTCCTTAGCATCCTTGCTAAGAGTTTCAGCGGTCCTGAGCCACGTTGAAAGCGTTATATTCGTACAGGGGAATACTATTGAAAATATCATGGAAAATATTTATTGAAATTTGCAATTTTTCTCCGAAAATTTCAGGCGAAGCGATGGATGAAGACGTGTACCACTACGCCTCCTCCAGCTATCAGTTCGGGCGGATGAGTCCACCACCACCTGCACCATCCTCCCCAATCCGCGGTTACCCTCAACCATCAAATACCACACCACCTACACGCCGGGTCGACAAGTACCAATCTCCGCAGTACCACCCGAACTTCCCAAAAGATTCCAGCAACTACCAAAAGTTTGCTCACTCTGAAACTCCTGACGTGACGTTCCAGAACCCAGGCACACCGTCACGCCAGATTCGTCTTCTGCAGCAAACGCCTGCAGAGGGCAGTCGGTATACCAAGCAGGTGATGGGGATGACGAAGAACGCTGCCCAGCAACAGGGGTTCATGGCTGTTGTTTACCAGGCGCCTTCCCTGCACGATGTTGATGGTGCGAATAATATGGTGAGTGAATAGTATGGTGAGAAAATAGTGTGGTGAGTGAGTGGAAGGCGCTAGGGCCGGATTGTTGACTGAATATTGTAGGTATTGCATAAGATTTGAAGAAATCAAAGTAGATCTTCCATTTGACGCCCTCATCATTTCTATTGAACCAATATATTCAACCAACTATTTTTAGCATTGCGCACTTCACGCAAATGATAACCGAAATACTATTCTAATATAAATGTTTTAGTTATGATAGCAGTCTTATGATCTCAGAGATTCTTTACACAAAGTCCCGCAGTGATAAAATCAACGCTCGATTTTCATCTCGATTTCAGAACCGCTGTGGCTCGTACGAAACCCTGTCCCAGCGAACCACTGACGGTGACTCAGACTACGGCTCTGTGTTACCATCTGGTTTGATAGCGGACAGGACGTTGCCTTTGTATCAGCATTATCGTCAGCCCAGGCATAAGCTGCCTAAGCAATCCAATTCTCAGGACCCCGAAACCAATATAAATGAGCACTGCCTCTACGACAAGCAGGCCGAGCAACAATTGTACCAGAAACATCAGTTATCGAAAACCAAAGGCAGACTCGGTCAAATGACCAACAAAAATACCCCGAAACAAAGACCACAACAAGAACTACCCCGACAAGTGTGAAGTTATTTGCCGAACGCAAATTAAATGTACATTATATATGTTAAGTGTATTTTATAACAGCGTCTGTATTATGAAAGTAACTTTTCTGCGCTTACATATATATAGTAGTATATCAAATTTACTCTATATTGAGAAATAAGATAATTCAATCTCATTGTATGTATCGTGCCCTATGAATAAAGATTTAATCTCATAATACAGTGTAAATCTGGTAATTAGCTGAGGAAAAAATCAATTACATGCGGAACTAATCAGTGGATATGTTAAATGGTGTGAGCCGAGAACAAGATTTTGCCCGTTTGACTTATATGAATAAAGTGAAAATTTTTCTTTTGAACTTCACGTATTCTCTGAAAAAATACATGGAAACTTTTAAATTTTTCAATTGATGATGTATTTTTTCAATGATAAAGGTTTCCTCGAACTTAGTATCATTAAAATAACATCTTATTTACTATTATTATACTCCGCCTTCGGACAAAGATCTGCATTAAACTCTGTTTATGTCGGAATGTGTTATAAAACATGTTCATTTGTTATATTTTCTGATAATGTAGAAATAAACACATAATTGAAATTCAGTGGAGTTTCTTTGACGCCTATTCACTATTCTTAATGATGGTAAAACGAACAAATTAAATGCTATTTTAGAATGTTTTCAGATTCTTTTATAAAAATTCTACCGCTCCGCGGTTGAGCGCAATCAATATTCCAAGCGACAAAAAATCCTCAGGTTTGGTTCACAATTTCGTTGATTCAATTGTTCGGACACTATTTTTCGGAACTCACCAACATTTGTCACGCTTAAATTAGATCATGAGTTGTAATTGAACTAATGAATTTTAAAAATATTAATTATTTATTATTTATCAAAATAAATTTGACTTCATGATTGCGAGCGTCCTGTAACGTCACTAGCGTTCAAGTCGCTCATAGTGTCGTATCAAACATTAAAATAAACATCGTTTGTCAGTTCAAGAACAGATTTCAATTTTGTTAATCGCGAGATCCGAATAAAATAGTAACATGCTTTTTTTCAACAAATTTCCCTTTTGAGAGTAATCTGGTTTTGTGGAGTAGGGTAACATGGGGCAGCGAGCCCACTGCGGGTCACGGGCCCATAGCGGGTTTCTCGCTAAGTATGGCAGATATTGGTCCGTGTTCTCTACCGCCGGTCGACAGTTTCACTGGGATGAAGTGTACGGATTTACGTTTTGCAGGGCAATGGGCCCATTTTGACACTTTTTACAAAATAGTGTTTCATTAAAAATCGAATAACTCTATAGGCGTCTAATTCACATCATACATTCCTCATCGGTTGCACCTTTAAACAAAACAAAGAACCACCTCGTATCAATTAAAACATCATCAAAAATTTAGTTTAAAAAAAGTGGGGGCGCGCTGCTCCACGTTGCCCTACTTCCGTTCAGACATCATTTCATTTCTCAATTCATTTTTCGGAAATCATCCATTTAATTGCTGCGATCTCCAAGCAAGCGTGTGTCCTCATAAGAACTTGAAACCTTAAGGTAGGTAAGTGTAACCGCGTTCAACTGTTTTATTTGGTTTTTACCTTATTTATGGAGTTAAATATTCCCTGATTCTTTGCCTTATGTCATTATTTTCCTGCCCTCGCAGCAGCGCTCAGGGACTCTTTCCTGCCCTCGCAGAGGCGCTCAGGGACTCTTTCCTTCCCTCACAGCAGCGCTCAGGGACTCTTTCCTTCCCTCGCAGCAGCGCTCAGGGACTCTTTCCTTCCCTCACAGCAGCGCTCAGGGACTCTTTCCTGCCCTCACAGCAGCGCTCAGGGACTCTTTCTTACCCTCGCAGCAGCTCTCAGGGACTCTTTCTTACCCTCACAGCAGCCCTCAGGGACTCTTTCCTTCCCTCACAGCAGCGCTCAGGGACTCTTTCTTACCCTCGCAGCAGCCCTCAGGGACTCTTTCTTACCCTTTTATGGGCCCACTAAGCAAGTCGCTGATTTGCTAAGCTGGACCGGGCGATGCAGGCTGGCAACGCTGCGTTCATCAACTTTGATGGGCGCTTAACCTTTGCTTGATGGCACTCATAGGCAGCTAAGTCTTGTACAGGGGGCCAGGTCCAATTTCGCCTTCATCGCCTGCTACATCAATAACAAATTTTTCGTAATTTTGCCGGCTTTCTTTCAGATTTAATGTGTTGCATCTGAATATGCTATTATTTTTTTGTACATATGTTGAATATATGTATTCGTTTCCTCTATGTTTGACAAGAGCGAGATTTATTTTTCTTCTCAACAGACCAAGTGTGAAGTCTGGTTTCGTTTGTGGATTATTGTTCGGATCAGCAAACATTATTGTTTATGAACATCTTTCATTGTATCATTTTTTAATCGTTCATTCCATGTAACGAAATTTCAATTTTTGTTACATTCACTCTTCTTATTGTCACATTCAAAGATAGATAAAAAAGTCATACTTTGGTACATTCTTGCAATCAAGGCACAGAAAAATAAAATCTTTCACGGAGCTCTGCGAAAGAGCTTTCCTGTTGACAATTCCATCAACAAGTTTAGAAACGATATTCAACAGTAAATTTTTAATTTTCATCAATTAATTTTCATCATTTCCCGTCAATTATATCTTAGCGTCATAAAATGTTTCGTAAATTTCTAATTGACAGACCAGTCCTAATACAAATTAACATAATTGTATGAAGTTTAAAATCTCGACGCTGGAATTTTTCCACAGATACATCATATAAAAAATATGAGAAGATAATTTGCTTTGATCAAGTGTTCTCAGGACGGACGTTTGCACCGGGAAGCTCATTGCATTGAAGCTCCAATTAGCGACGTAATTAACTGGCTGGGGAGATAAATCCCCCCACCGGGATTTACTTATGTGATTTTCGACACGCCATTGATAATATTTATCGTATCTTATTTATATTATTCGTTTTATTTTACCGCACAAGCATGATTTATTTCTCTGGATGGAGATTACGGATAAAAATAATGAATGAAAATTATGAGAGACAGAAGGATTTTTCTCTATATTTAGTTTATGTTTTCTTTTAATTATAACCTTTTAAGCGCCTTTAATCTTTTTTAATTTTAATTATAACCTTTTCAATTATGAATAATAACCTTTTTAATAAAGGTTATTAGTTTAACCTTTTTTCTTTAATTATAACTTTTTTTAATAGCTTTCTTTTTAATTATAACGTTTTTTTATAGCCTTTATTACTTCAAGAATATTAGCTTCTCAAAAAAAGAGCTGCTGCTTGTTCATCCTTTTAAAACGAAATTCTAATTAGTTCTTTACAATGAAAAAACACAACAGTCGTATATCATTTCTATCTGAAAATAATGTCGCACTCTCACGCATGAATATGTTTAATTAAATTATTCAATAATTTAAAAATAAATTTAAAAAGAAGTTAAATTAAATACAAAGTCTCAATTCCTGGCTTGAAAATAAAAAAATATATGTAGCGATTCCCAGTAGTTAATTTTTTGGCACATTTTTTACTTCTGAGAGCTATTTATTTGTTCATCCTTTTGTAAAATAAAGCGCGATTGATTGGTAACCGATTTTTAAATAAAAATCCGATACGCCGTAAACATTGAGGAAATTTTCGAATTTTTAGGATTTATTGTAAAATTTCGTATAAAATTTTCAATTGTGCACAACAAATTGCATTCAACAAACATTTATTTATAGTGTAAACATTCGGCGTTCGTTGCCAGTCACGAAGCATTGGGTCTGTTGAACAGTAAGCCCTGCCTGTGACAGGTTTTGTCCAGCATTGTTAGCCTTGCTCAGTTTGGCGCGCACTTAACTATATACTGGAGACTTGAAAACCAGTTTTTTCTGTCATGCCAGAAAATCCGCGGCATATGAAGTAAAATTTTCACGTAGTATGGAAGGACGGAAGTCGCATGAACAAAACGTCTTTTGGTTGGCTGGTTTGAATTTTGAAAAGAAGGTCCATTGGCTTCCTCTAAAATGTAGCGGTCGGTTGGTGCGAATTTTTCAGAGGGTGAATAGCATGTTTAAAAATCTTCTGAATTAGTAAAGAACCGGGTGAGCTTTCTCGAGGCGGTGCAGAGGTAAAGGCTATGAATATTATGTTGAATATGTCAGCAAATCTTTGTTAATGGTAATGCACTGGTTCTCGCACACGAGTTTCGAATTCAGTCTTTAAAATATTTTTACAAAATAAAACTTGTGCTATTAGACGTAAATTGAAATATATCATTTGGGAACGACGCTACAATGACTGTACTCTTAATTAACTTATTTTGGGGGGTCGCTTAGTGCATTGAAAGCTCGTAAATACCGCTAGACGCCCGTTTATTATTATCATTAAATAAAATTTAATCTACGAATTGACTAAATAGCCCACAAACGATACAAAAATGTACTGTTTCACTTACCTATAACGTAAATATTATTTCAATAACGAAGCCATTGCTACAATTGAGATATAGTCATTCAAACAACACCAAGGTCCTGAAAATTGCCTCACATCATCTCATTTGATCCACTTTTATTGTAACAATTTCGATTATTAGTATATAAATGTGAGCCGCGCCTTGATGAGCATTTTTACAACTGTAGTTAAGTCGCCTATACTTTCAATAGATTTATAAAATTATCTGGTATAAATATACACATGACTGACGATAGAACATAAGGTGCGATTAATGTCGTGTGTTGTTTGAATGTAGGTTTGTTTGAATGTAGGTAGCATTACGTAGCATAAATCCACACCCATCTCTGGCATTCGTGAACATGTGTGGAACCAATTCAATGTAAGAACCTACGATCTTCTCTGGATTAAAATGGTAAGTAAAATATGGGAAAATTAATTACAAACGAGATCTGACCGATACCAAGTTAAAAGTTATTTTCAGTGCAACGCGAATTTCGGCAAAGGTTCTTTATTTTTACAACCAGGCATTTAGAAGGAATTTATCTGTTGACAAATTAGAGTTTAATTAAAAAAAATTCAATAAATAAATCACAACTGAAATCCCACTGGCGAACTCGAATGCGGTAAATGAGATGTTTTATCATGGAGAGTTTAGACGTCCTGGAACAAGCAAGGTCTCAGAAGATGTCAAATAAAATATAATAGAAACAATCACTTTGTTATCGCTAAAGCCTATTCTGCAAAAGAAACCTGTATACTCGATACGGACTTTGACATCAAGCTGAGCGATCGATGGCAGGCTCTTTCGTTCCGGGTCCTGATAGCGGCGAGAGCAGCACGCACACGCAGTTCTAAGCAAGAGAAGAAATGTTGTTTGTTCATTTGCTTCTCGGAGTTTTATTCGAGGAATTTCTGGCAATAGAAGGGGGCTCTGCTATAGCAAACGAATAGCACAATGAGTCGCCTATCACTGATGCAATAGACTGCAAACTAACGTTGAAAGGCGGCAGCTACCGAGGAGAACGACGACATGCCGTTGTGAAAGGCATGCCGACAGCTTGCATTCCATGGACTCGACCTAATTGGGAGTTCATGAGATA